ACTAAAACTTTTTGAATATATACAGGTTTGAAAAGAATCAAATTTGTCTTATTAGAGATAGAAGGAAGGTAGAAGGTAGCCCAAGTTATTCGACTGAGAGAGATGCGTCGCAGCTTGAAGTAGATGCTAGTATTTTGAGGTAACATAACCAGTATAAAAGTCCATCGACAGACGAAGGCACGCGACGGTCAAAAATGGAAAAAATTAAAGAGCAGTTCTTAATAAGGTCATCGTTTCTATTCACGCCCTACAGCTACACCATGCCGATGAAGCGGTGCCACACACTTCTGATGTGAGACCCAGGGATGCCATTCTTTGCTCTTCGGGAGAGTCGGGTTTAGTTTGTAATGCCGCTAGAGCACGCAGAATACCCGTGGCATATCGAGGCCAGATGTCAGCACGTAGAAGAAAGCTTACGCGTTTCAATCCGCTGTTAGCTATCTGAAGTGCTTCAGCTGGGTGCGCACGAAAGTGTATCAGCTTTGACAAGAGATCGTGCATATCGTGTGCGACGGGTACGAAGTCAATACCTGGTCTTAATAAGTCGTACCAAAACTCATCGCATTTATCCGCGCGGCTTACTTTAAAAACTGTAGCACCAGTGACCATCAACTCGTAGAAGCGCGAAGACCACGTGTTACCATCAACGTCGACAAGGAATTTAGTTCTGAAATATGTGTCGCTGCTTGCGAAACTTACGCCCCACCATTGTCCAAACGAGGTTTTCATAAGCTGTTCAACGCCTGGAAGGCACTGCCAACAGTGTGTAAATCGTGCGTCAAGTAAGTTAGGGGCGATCATACTTAATTGTACTAGCTGGCTCCGCTGGCTGGAGAGCCAGTTGTTGAAGTCATTCATCTGACCGGTGGCACTACCGCGCCAAATGGCGGTGTCGTTGCGCCTATTGAATTCATGTAGCGTCTGTGTCAGTTCATCACTGCTTCTATTTCTGAAAGTCAACAGGCTGTGGACGAGCTTTTCAACAGGCTTCAAAATCAGCTGATTGTCCCACAGAAATGGTATACCGAGCTTGTTTGCTTTGTTACAATAGATCAATACAGGAGGTGGAATAGATATTTGCTGCATGTGTCCCACCAACATACGTAATGGAGAAAAGTGGTACTCACGGCTCGGCTCGAGCAACGGAAAATCGTCGTCCCATATAAATAGATCAACATGATCTGGTAAATCGGAATTTCGACTTACTCTAATTAAATGCTGGAAAATTTCCCAGTACCCGAGGTGCATAGACGGTTTGCTATTGTTATCTTTCAGAACATCTGGAGTAATACTATGTGAAGCAAGGCCAGAACACGGTATCGTAACCCATTGGAGACTAGGCTTACCCGGACGTAATACCCATTTTATGCTTTCGGATTCTGCTACCTCCTTTATATATCGTGTTATCCTGAAATGAATAATATAATGCCGACATAATAGTTTTAGTTCGAGCATATGAGCGCTACTGAACACAGGAAAGGGTTCACCAACCCTAATATGTTTGTCGTAAATCTTGCTAGCTGCTGTGAGCCAAGGCGACATATATTTTGTAATAACATTTGTGTACAGGTTGTTCAAATCAAAACGCTGCCGCTTATGAGTCTTATACATCGCTGATAAAGATTGCGAAAGTGATTTGTTCTTCACGTCTAGCCCAAGAGACGACAAGAAAACATCAGCGTTTTGCAAAGAATCCTAGTTCCAAGGGTTCTGAAGCTTGCTGAAGTACCAGTCTTTCGGCGTTCGAAACAACGGATATGATATGATAAACACAAAAAATAACACAACTGTTGCGCTTACAAATCCATGTTTAGGTGTGACGGAATACATTAAGAGAATGCGTCTGAAAGAGCTAATGATCGAATAAACACATTATGCCAGAAAATCGTATCAGACGAGGGCTTTGGAAGAAACTGAAAAAGGAAACCGGCCATTTTCCCGAGATGTCATACGGTATCTCCTAGCTCCCGCTTACCAGGAAAAATCAAATAATGTCCCATATTTCCTTTTAGCTCTAGCTTCCAGCCTGTTCTTGGACTCTGTATCAGATACACAACACTGGCAGTAAGGGGACACCTCCTATATCCTGATCGGGATATAGCTATATGCCGATCAGGATATAGAAAAAAAGTAATATCCCGATCGAGATATAAAACACGAAATTTCGTCGCAAAAACGATTAAGGGGAAAATGACGACATTTTGGGGTAAAATTGACTTCACCATTAGAAAGAGCTCGAAAACGTACATCGGATTCTGTTGTGTTGATCAAAAGTGTATCAAGCGTCCAGCAATACAAATTTTTAACAAATTTTAGTGGAATTTATATCCCGATCGGGAAATAGGGTGTTAATCTTTTATTGCTCATAATGGGATATACTCTTGATCTAATCGCTTTCCACGTCGACCGTGTTTTTTTATTTCTCCCTTTTCGATGCCCACATATAAAAT